TGATATTGACCAATCACAGTGTAACAGCAATTTCAGCTTGTATTGATATATCCTTCAGAAGGAGGTCTCTAAGACCGAAACATGTCAAGGATGAAAGAATAAAAGGAGAAAACATTTATTACTCACACTGGACGGGGCTGATAATCTTTCATACTAATCGTGTAAGTTCAATTATCCGCGCTATCCTCAGACGCAATATCTACACGGTCTTATTTCTTCCTAGTCTATATCTTTTAAGGAGCTGGGATAGCGTAGCGGGTATAGCGACTGGCTACGGGCTGGACAACGGAAGGGTCGGAGTTCGAGCCGGTAGGGTCATGAATTTTCTCTTCTCCACGACGTCCAGACCTGCCCTGGGATCCAACCATCTCCTATCCAATGGGTACCGGGGGCTCTTTCCCTGGGAGTAAAGCGGCCGGGGCGTGTAACTGACAACTGACCTCCATGTAGTGCCAAGGTCAAGAAAATGTAGATCTATACATCCACCCCCTTATACGCCTTCATGGCGTAGTGCTTAGTTAAGTACAGGGACACCTTTACCTTTACCTGCATCTTGAGAGATTCTTACGAGTTTTTAGACAAAGAGGCATGACACTAATGATTGTGAAGTGATGAAACTTAAATTGATCATTTCTCTATTCGAAATAAAACAGTCTGTCAATTTGTAAGATTTGAGGCTTTCACGGCGGTGACTATGAAGAAAGCAGTCTTCTGGGATTTGGCACCGTGTATATGTGGTGTTAACCGACGTTTCGGGAGGAACGTATCGTCTCCATCTTCAGGGTAGAAGGAAAAATATAAGAAATCCGCAAGCGAAGAGACCGTGAGACTGCTTTAACCGGTTCTCACGGTCTCTTCGCTTGCGGATTTCTTATATTTTTCCTTCTACCCTGAAGATGGAGGCGATACGTTCCTCCGAAACGTCGGTTAACACCACATATACACGGTACCAAATCCCAGAAGACTGTTTTCTTCACAGTCTGTCAATTTATCTGAAAGCATGTTCATTAAATATTGGTTAAAACTGTACATTTCAATGCTAAACAAATTAAAGTACTCTCCAATTGCCAATTACAGCAAATTGGCTGGGGTTAAATTGGAGCCCGATGCAGTGGGTGCTGCATCCCAATAGAATAAGCGGGGGCACGCAGAACCCACTGCAACCCTGGTAATACCAGACCTGCTGCTATTCAACGGCAACAGGCAGAAATTAGTTGCTTCATTTTTCACTTTTGTGCTGCACGTCTCACGGAAACAGTGTATGGAGGTAATGCTGAAAAAGCTGCCGGTTGCGGACTCTAGAGTTTCAATTCATATGACACCGAAGGCAAAATGATTCAAATTTGTGGTGGGACGAAGCAGCGATTTCAGGCTATTTTCCTTATTCTGCAAAAATAAAATTAGGCTTATGAGACCACCACGATATCAGTGTTTCTGTGAATTCACCCTATCAACTTTTGAATGCTGAAACCGTCTTTATGAAACTTGGCATCGAACCCATCTCAACAGCGTGCTTCATAATCCCTTCCATCAGTTTGTGGCCTGCATGTGTATCGTTGCCAGGCAAAGGCTCGGTAATACATAACCCTCCATTTTTTGATAGGTAACAATTCATTGAAGACTGCTATGCATATCCGTCCGTCTGTCACAGCACAGCGTATAAACAACTGAAAACATGTGTGGTATCGCTGAAATCATTATTTATTCACTAAGCATACTAGCTACATGTTTCGACCATATATATTGTCACCATCAGGCGTTAAAATATTAAAAATATTGTCAACATACATTATTGGACTGCTTACAATGGATCCACTGTTACCAGTCCCTTGTCATGCAACCCGCTTCTCACGATAGGCTATAGTAAACTATACATATACACATATAAGGATCAGTAAAGACGTTCACGCGGCAATGAATAATTGCTAAAAGCGTCGTTTTGTATGCGGTACATGTCGTATGAAAGAAAAAGAAGGTGATTAACTCTTCCAGTAACTTCTTGTTTTATATTTAATGGTCACTAATTTGTCAATGGGGTATGCGGTAGCGTAGTTGGTTGAGGTACTATGCTAAAAGCCAAAAGATCGCGGGGTCGAATCCGATAAGGATAATTTTTTTTTCAATTTACCAAATCCTTCCAGCCGCACTATGGCCCTGGGTCGACTCGGTCTCTAGAAATGAGTACCAGGAATATTCTTGGGGTTCAATGCCGACCGGCGCTCAAGGCTGACAACCTCACCGTCATCTGTGAATCGATTGCATAGCGAATGTGGGAGCCTCGACGTCTCACAACCCTATGGGCCTCCACGGTCTGTTTACCTTTACCTTTTACTTTGTCAGTAACTTTACAGTACCCGTCAGTACGGTAGAGCAGCTGTGACCTTACATTTCAACACATTCCTGGATACTGATAATAAGCCAGAAGTGGCCGCAGTACAAGGGACTTAGTCTCACCGCACTAGCAATAAAAAAAAAACTGAACAAATGTATAATTTCCTTTTTTACTTCTTCGTTTTAATAAATTAATCAGTGTCAAGGTGCCAAGCAGTTTTTAGTGACGGCCTCCTTGATTTCTCCCGACGAACAAGCCATTTATAATACCTTCACCCTCTCTCGTGCACTGTTATTACTGAATATCACACACCTCAGCCACATTTCGTGATTTTTCCTAATCCAGTTACAGTGAGAAGAGATTCCTTGGTACATAAACAAAGAGACCCCTTGATACATGACAAGGCAGGGGTTTCAAGATAGAAAAGTGCGCTTCTTTTGTTATGGTTTGTTGTAGCGTGGTAACTGCGTACCTAGGCAGCAGCTGCTACCTGTATAAGGTCTGGCATTCTTATGAAGTGATTAAATTCGGAAGAATGCGTGGGGGGGGGGCGCATAAGAAACAAAAAGTAAAGCACGTGTATTGTGAAACTTTAAGGAAAAACAGTCTGCTGTGAGATATCTGAAAGGGAAAATATCTGTATATTTTAAGTTTTCTGTTTTTATATGCTTGTTATTCATTTTTTGTTTTGAGCCACTTAATTGTTATTTTGTAGTTGGCTGAGGGGCTATGCTACAAGCCGGAAGGTCGCGGGTTCAAGTCCCGATGAGGTCATGATATTTTTTTCAATTGACCTAATCCTTCCAGCCGCACTATGGCCCTGGGGTTCACTCAGCCTCTAACAGAAATGAGTGCCAGGAATCTTCCTGGGAGTAAAGGGCGGCCGGCGCGTAAGGCTGACAACCTTACCGCCATCTTTGAGCCGATTGTCTAGATAATGTGGGAGCCTCAACGTCTCACAACCCTATGGGCCTTCACGGCCTGGTACAGGGATAGCTTTACTTACTTTTTTCTTGTTATTTTGTTTAAGAAGAGATTCATTCTACAGAATTCGGTATAAAATGAAGCTCATGGCGATGAAATAAACAGTGACGTGAGACCCGGTTTGTAATTCCGTCCATCTGTTGTTACTGAGTCGGTAAATATGCCTAATTTAATCAATTAAACTAACTGAATTAGAAAGTAAATATTAGAGACAAGAAGCACATCGAAACTATGAACAGTAAAAGCTTTTACCAAAGCCTTTATACAAAGTTCACGAGCGCTGTCAAGCTAATACTTTCTATATTACAGAAAGAAGCTCAAACTATTTTTAGTGATTAGTGATTTAGTGATTTAGTTTCTGAGCCAATTCAATCTAAAAATAGTACATTAAATACTAACAACACATTTCTTCAAAAGAAAAGTTTTCCACGAAGTTTCCAGCCAATTTTTTTATATTTCTTTCCCGCTACATTCCCGAAGTACCTTAACTAAAAAATTGTTGTGTACAGAATGTCAGATTTAAGAAGATGAAGTAATTCTTACAAGACAGAGGAATTTAATCAGATAAACACAACAAAAATTAAGAATTTTAAACTGTTTTGAAGCCTATCTATTTTGAATGGCTAAATTATTTTAAAATGTTCGACGATTTTCTGAACGTAATATATTCTGAAAAATAAATCTTCCGAAATGTAAGCAAATTTTGAAATCTCTAATAAATGAATAAGTTTAAATTTATTATAAAGTGTATATGTCCTCTATCTCCAATATACTCTTTCGAAATTTACATTGTTGACCACGATATTGATATAACTTACCCGTAGAAGTCTCAGAGAACGAAATTCGAATCCTTCTAAGATATGGAATTTTAATTTAACTTTCAGAGCGGCTCTCCATTAAGAATAATTTAGGATGATGTGCGAGGTTCTGAATTTCTTCTGTGAAGGCACTGAATGGCCAGCAAAATCGACCGATTCAAGACCCACCCTCCAAATCGAAGCTTATTACAACATGAAACAAAAGGCGCACGGTTTGAGAGACAGTCCGTGACCCTTGCTTACTCTCAAATAAGTCCCACTTGAATTATCTGTAGCAGGGAACCAATTAACAATATTAAACAGGCTGGCGGTAGGGTAACACAATTTGCACTGACTGTACGAAAACAACCGCCATCGAAATATTGACAGCACGCAAACAATGGCCTTCAGTGATGTCGTGCTCTTTAACGTAATTAATGCTTACTTACCGGGAAGAGCAATCAGGTCTCTGTATTAATTACCGATGACAAATGTTAATGTAAAATTTAATTAACATGCTCAAAGTGCCCGCTATGGTATCGGAACCCTTTCTTCCTATGTGATGCCTGGTTGCAATGTTTCTTCTCTTAACATTTTATAAATATTCCTCAATCCTCCATCCATTTTCATTTTTCAACTTGGACCATAGGGCATCCGTGAAACGTTTTGTTTCATCCGAGTTTCTTAATCTTAGATAATCAGTAGGACTTCTTGGACGGGGGATCAGCCCGTCGCAAGGCCGCATAAACGCAGACAAACACCCATGCCTTAAGTTGGATTCGAACCCACGATCCCAGCGTTCGAGCGAGCGAAGACAGTTCATACCTTAGACCGTGCGGCCTTTGTGGTCTGCCATGTTACACGTAACATTATGATTTTTTACTTACCCATAACTGTCATGTTGGAGCTCTGAGCCACAGTTTCAAAATTCGGCGCCTCTGTCGAAACTTCGCATTTATAATTGCCGCTTGTGTTGAACTGAAGGCTGATCATGGTCACCTTATTCATGTCAGATTGCCGCAACTGAAACATAAGAAGAGAGACTTTTTTTATTCAATCATTGTACAGTCTGAAGCGTATTTAGTAATTCGACTCGTCTGGAATTGATTTTGCAGATCTCGGAATACCCTTCATAAAGGAAGTCATCAACAAAAAAAGCCACCAAATATAGAGATCGCATCGTAGACCACGACAACTATCTAATAAATGAACTCGCCGCTCAACCCCAGGCGAACAGAAGACTCCAACGCCTTTGCACGGAAGACCTAACCTAGGAGACGCGTGAAGACCATCAGTGGGTGCTAATCACAACAAGCTGCTAGGACACTCGAACATTTAGTCATTACTCTGCTGTCACTAGACTGTAAATTAGCAACCAAATTAAATAAAAAAGTAAACATTCACGTGAGCGGTTTTCATAAAACTGACAGATGCTTCTGGAAGCGATATTACCACATATCATAAAATTCCATTCACTCATCTCGGAGAAGCAATATTCAGTCAGAAAGACAGTGGCGGAGCAGAGGAACGGACATGATCTCTAACATGTTCATTTATTTCCAACACTTCCTTTAATTGTCCTTCTGAGCGTTCCAGTATTTGATCACTGCAGATACTTAACAGATTTCGACTAAGCTATACATCGGGAACATCACAGCAAATTGCAGAAGTTGAGGTGCATTTCTGCACCTGTCGTTCCAAATAGCTTGTTTCTAAATTAGAAAACGTGTTGCCTTGTGTGCAAACAAGTGTATCATGTATAATGAATAATAAATAACATTTACTAACAAAATACATGTAATTAGAACAGCACTCAGAAAAGCGTGTGCATGTTTACATTTCATTAGCTTGATCCCGCTTGCATTTTATTCTCGAAAAGGGGCAAATTAATTAGTGGTGGAATAATTTAGGAGCAGTGTAAAATATCACAGAATAGCCATTACCTGTGATGTCGTACATGCATTTAAAATTAATAAATAAGTAACTTAGAATTCGAAC